AAAATTAAAATTTAAAAGAAGACTGAAAAAGGATGTGTTTGTGAAATACTGATGCCTACGTAGGAAAGTTCATGACGAAGGTTAAAGTTTCCCAAATGCAAGTCAAACACCAAGGTCAAGAGATAAAAAATATTGGTACCCTGATAAAGGTCTTGTAACAAGGAATACACCTATTAAATATAAAAGCCTTAGTACTAATTATTCAAAAGTTATGCCAAGATAAAAGATTTTTTTTCAAAAGTAGGCCAAACTCAAAGGTCAAGGAAAAAGGGTCAAAATTAATTGTGCCCTAGGAAAAATCTTGTCACAAGAAATACACAAGTGAAATGTGAAAGCCCTAGCTCCATCCTTTCAAAAGTTATGATCAAAGTTAAAGTCTTTCAAAAGTAAGCAATCTCCAATATAGAGGATAAAAATTCGAATGTGTTGGTTTGGTACCCAAGGGAAAGTATTGTCAAAAGAAATTCACATGTGAAATATGAAAGCCCTAGCAACAACCATTCAATTTAAGGCCAAAGTGAAAGTTTTTCAAAAGTAGGACAAACTCCAAGGTCAAGGTTAAAGGGTACAATTGTTGATGTTTTTGCAAGAATTACATACGTTACATATGTGAAATATAAAAACCCTAGCACCAACTGTTCAAAAATTATGGTCTAGGTTAAAGTTTTTCAGAAGTAGGTCAAATTCCAAGGTCAGGGTCAAAGAGTCAAAATAGTTAATAACCAAAGAAAAGTCTTTTAGAGGATAATAAACATGTTTTTAATAACAGCACTAGTTCCAACCACTCAAAACTTATTAGCAAGGTTCGAGTTCTAAGAATCAGGGTTTTTTTTTAATTAGAAAAACGTCATTTTGCGACACCCATTTGACCCTTAGGGCGAAAATGTAAAGAACAAGGTACGTTTTCAATACAAATTTGGCCCTGTATTTTTCTTAAATATGAAAATGAAATAAGAAAATGAAACTCATGCTCTCTAAATCATTGAAATTCCATGCAGTATGAATATACAAATTGTTTTACTCAAATGACCTCCTTAATGCTAATTGTGACGTCATGAACTTGTACATTTTCCCGTATTTTCTTAAAAAGTAGTAGAAGACATCAGTTTTCAGTGGAATTTTCTATCAAATAATATAGAGCACATGCATCGCCCACAAAGATTTTGATAAATGTGATTTTTTAAATAGGATTTTACACAACATATCCAACAACTGAGGTGGGCGACGGATGTGGACGCTATTTTCTTAAGGACAATAACCCCAAAAGTGAGTCATTTGAGACTTTTTCTGTTTAAAACTTAGAAATGTAACAATTATTGACGTCATTTTTCAACAATGGTTCTCCTTCAAGTCATATCCTTTTAAGATTTATTACATTCATCTACTCAAATCATATTTAAGCCAATTTCTTAACATTTTAAAAACATTAAATTTTTAGGGCACAATAAAACCAAAACCGTACCTTTATTTTCTTATACCTTATTGCACAACTCATGAAGATGAAGAATGAATATTTTTTTTATGTACAGGTTATTACTTGGGAACATCCCCCAATGAATCAATACATTCAAAAACCCTCTAATGCTTTATAATATTCCTACGTTTAGCTCACCTGAGGCAAAGTCGAGTGAACTTTTCAATTCAACATTTCTTCAAGGTCTGTCTTGGTGATAGTTTAGTTCTTAGTTGGTCATTAGCATCTATATGATTATTCAATTATAAAACAGATTTTATCTATTTTATATTCCCTGCGATATTGTATTTGTGTCAATATCAGTTACAAATGCAACAAAAAGTTGTGACCTACATGTACCTTTCGGCCGAGTTTGAAGCGAAGGTTATCTATTCCCCCTGGCGTGAAAAGCGAGTCCCTCTTTCTCATTTGTGACTCCCCAAAAATAACAGCTAAACACGGTGGCAAAACAATCAAAAACCCGTGGGACTTTTTTTTTTAATAATTTCTGCACAAAAGACAAAAGATAACCTGGGGTGTATACTTCCTTGATTTAAACATATTTTATTGAGCATAATCAATAGGATTGGACACAAGTTTTACCAACTTTGTCTGTTCTTTTTAACACAAAGAAAATATACTGTAAATCACTTTCTTATCGCGAGAACTTTATGTTGGCTTAATTACGCGAGACGATTTGCTCGCCAGAATTTCATTCTAGCGTACATCTTTATTGACATAGGATATAAACAGTAATAATCAGCATTTGTGAAAATGTTGTCTCGCTTATAAATACCAAATACCTATCCCGCAAAAATAAGGTGTCGCGAATAATTGGTGATCTACAGCACATAGATATACACGCGATATACAACTAACAAATATACAATACAAAAATAAAAACTTCCTTTTCACTTAATAAAACAATACGTCACTTAATTCTTAACATTTTCCTATGGATTGCATTAGTTTTGCACTCAATGGCCACCTTTTTAAATAAAATATTTTTTCTGACAAATAAATCGGTGACAACTGTTTCCTTACCCCAGAAGCTTTTTTTTTAAAACATATATTTCACGCCTTGCATTAAAAATGAGGACATACGTTTGATTGTTCTTTCTTTGTATTTTATCAATTATAAACATGTTTAAACAGGCAAACATTGTTTCCTAAACAGCTAAATGATATATGCAATTTGCTTGAATATTATATGAATTGTTCAATGACAAATATAAAGAATAGGACTCGGGTATATTATAAATTGATATTATTTATTCCATGAAAAGAATTTCAATAATTATATCATCAGATGTGATGATATGTAATGTGCATAATATATGTCCTTGGTACCAAAAAGTTGTTTAATATTTTGACATTGGAAATTATGAAATATAAATAAGGCCATAATTTTATAATTAAAGATACTTAGTGAATAATTAATTACATATGATATGACTTGAGATTTACAATGCATTTTAGAAGAATGTTGTACTTATCATCAATTTATAAGCATTTATGTGTAATTTTCAGAAAATTCTGGGAAAATCAACTGGAGCAAAGCTGACTTGTGCTTGAGGTAGCATTACTATTTTTGGAGTAACAACTATGCTGAGGTTGCAGTATATGCCATCAACCATTGCCTCGAGAAGATTATTTACCACTTTTTGAAGAATTATTTTTCAAGGGAAAAATTTCCCCAAAAAGGATTACTAGTCATAAGTCTTCAGTACCTAATGGTACAGAACATCCAAAATTATAAACATCTCATCTCTTTCATTTTTAGTTGCAGAAGAAATTTTGTCTGATTTTGTGGCTGAGAAATTTGCAGATAGTTGGTTGTGGTCTGTTTTTAACATTTGAAATTGTTGTGAGAAAGGAATACCATTGGGTTTCAGGATATTAAAATATTATTTAAAGATCAAATTTATGAAAAACCCAATGTTACAAAATTAAAAAAAATCAGCATTTTGCAATCTGCAAAGGGAGGTAACTAGTAATGGAGGTAACTAGTAATATGCCAAGTATTTTGTTGGAATTTGACAGTTTTTATTTCCATTTCTCAAAATTCACCAGCAGAAAATTTTCTTTATGCTTGATTTATATTATAAATACATTGATCCTTATTATGTAACAAGTTGAATAAAATCCTATGGTTATATATTTTTTTTTTAAATTTGAATAATTGCATAAAGGTGAAGTGTGTATTTTCACTAGATTGTCATGTTTATCTAACATTTTCATTGTAACGAAGGTTTTTTTTAATTGAATTTATTTCATCTGATGTAATTGTTATGTTTTTAGCCCCTTTCCACTTTATATTTGTGTTTCATATTGTTTTTGTTATGTTTTCATGTTGACTTAATGTGCGGTATACTAAGATGCAATAAATCTGAAAATTAAGGTTGTAGTCTTTTATACTAAAATGTAACTGATGATTATATGAAGTATTTCTGCCAATTTGATCAATTTTGAAGAAATTTTTGTTTGGACCCCCCAGTCTCCTTAAAATACTTCTTCTTATGAACAACAAAGCCATGATTAGTTATATTTATAATATTTATATAGTAGCGTCCTCAGGTAATGTAGATTAAAATTTGTTCAAATCATGACGGGGGATCAAAATTTTGTATAAGAATTTATAGGAAAAATCTTTAAATATCTATTTCTCAAGAACGGCAAAACCATAATTAGTCATATTTATATGGAAGCATTCTTAAATAGTTTAAATTCAGATGTGTTCATATTATGACCCCCAGGGTTATGGTGGGCCACAATGGGCGATAAATGTTTTACATAGGAATACACAGGGGAAAAATCTGTTGATGAAAGACAGAGGGGCCCTTGTGATTCAGGTGAGCCTTGTGGCCCAAAAGCCTCTTTTTTCTTTCTTTACAGTTATGAAACATTATCTTCATTCATTTCTAATAGATGTCAGATTGTTCTGTTCTAATGTACTGTAGTATGAAAATGTTCATTAAAAGGGCAGCTGATCCCTTTTTTTCATAGCATAATAAAAATTAATGTATTTACAAAAGTTTTGTTGAAAAAAGATGGAAATTACCTCAACCCCTTCCCCCTACAAAATAGAAATTTCGAGTTTGGACAAATCCTTTTTTTTTCTTGTAAAAGAATTTTTAGGTAAGTTGTCAATTATCCCCCCACCCCATTTTCAAAACGATATTATGCGCTTGCGTATGAAGATCAAAACTTACTTTGATTTACTTTTATTAAAACAACACCGGACATAAAATTAAAATAAAAGTATTGCAAAATCTGCTTGTGTTAAAACTACTCTGTACAAATTAATGTATACATTGTACATGTAATATCCAAATTTCAATTTTGATCATCCCTGTAAGATTAATCGCAAACGGTTAATCATCCCTGGCAAGATAATCGCAAACGGTTAATAAGTAAAACACTAATAACATGATAATCGCAAACGGTTAATAAGTAAAACACTAAATGACAAGATAATCGCAAACGGTTAATAAGTAAAACACTAAATGACAAGATAATCGCAAACGGTTAATAAGTAAAACACTAAATGACAAGATAATCGCAAACGGTTAATAAGTAAAACACTAATGGCAAGGAAACACTGCAATGGATATAATCTTTTGCAGAGAACTCATGTACATCTTGAGGTCTTTAACAATGATAATCCATGAAAGCAAGGAGCATACAATTTATAGAGCTATATCTCTATGACGCACATTGATAAACAAATTCTATATGCACAACAGATCTAATTTCTTGGGCAAAGTGCTTATTATCAGAAAATTTGCATGACCGTGATGAAGTAGTAAAAGGTGAGCAGTGCTAACTAGCATTTTCTCTTCCGACTTATAAATGGCCAGTTGTAGTTTGAAAATGCAAATGTTAGTCTTTAACATCAAAACAGTAAACATTTTTGGCTTTATCCACGCGCAAACCAACAGTGCCATCACCAAAGAAATGGATGCAAGGGAACAAAATGGCGACAAATTTTCCAGGAACAATGTCACTCCACTGAAAGTATGGTGTTGGATTGTCGTTTGGGAGGTAGAAGGAAACATAAATTTCCCGCCTTTCAGAATCCTGAAAACAAAGACAAAAATGAAAAAGAAAAGACAAAATCCATTAAAGTGTTCTAAATCGATAGGTTCGATGGGAACTTCAAATAATTCAAGAAATCTTCTGTAATTTGGGCTTTTGCTAAAATGATATCATATGATATCTATAAGCCCAATATATTTTAAACACTAATATTTAACTAAAATTAAACCTTATATTCATTAAGAAAATAATAAAATAAAGGTGCAAAGGAAAACAATATATGACTTGCATTCTTTCACATATGCAAGGGACAAACTTTAAATCTTCACAAGTTCTTGCTTAATCCCCATCATCTTTATGTATGCTTAACATTATTCAATTACTTCTTATTTTTCTTGAACACTTCCAATAGACAGAATACTTCCATGTTTTTCTGACAAGCACTTCACCACAAATGTAGAACACCCAAACCACTGCTGTTTTTATATATAACCATGTTTTTACCTCTTTGATTCTGGTTGCAATGTTTTTAGGTACATAATTATATATTACATCGGTGTATTTAATTTTTTTTTTTCATGTATATGTGTTCTCTAATTCTACTTATTACAAGTGCATATTTGTCAAACCATATAGACGTGGCGGCCTACTTCACCTGATAGAGATGCTGTGAGACAGACTTCATTATTTTAATTTAGATATCTGATCAAAAGCACCGCTCACCATAAAGGGCATTTCTATAACTTTATCAAGACCATCATTGTGGATCATGGGCTAATATCCTAGCAGATTTGGTACGAATTGGAGGGTTTACAAATTATTTTTTTATGTACCTAATTCAATAATATAAAAGCACAACTCAATGCATGTGCTTCCAGCTCTGTCAATAAATTGCTGCATTTCATGCATTGATGCATGGTCAAGAATAGTGTTAGACTTTCAGATGGATGATTGAAAAAAATGCATTCATCAATATTTTTTTTCAAATGAGATAAGAAGTTTTAAACATGTACCTGCAAGTAAACATTATGGCGGCCCCTGTAGTTATGAAACCTTCTAATGCAGGCGAGAAACACATAAGGAAGTGTGGATATGTTGGAAGTAAACATAGACCTCCCTTCTATTGGAATTTCCCTTAGACGGGTAATCAGAGTGTGATAGGGAAACTTCCGGTTAGTTTTCTCTATCGCCTTATATTGTGACTGCACGTTTCTTTCAACGATCCATTTCAGATCTGCATCATCATCAACAAATATTGGATTTATTGGAAAGGGCAATTTGGCGTGAGAAGGCGAAGAAAATGTTGTATGTTTAAAGGGACTAGGTCCCGCAGAATCTTCAAAGCCTCTGCATGATGATACTGAAATTCCTGATATTTGATAGCATAATGGTACACACATTTTTCTGTGTTCCGATTTATCCAGATCCATGCATAGCTTTGAGCAGTACATTACAGACTTACATTCGGCACAGGTGACTTTGCAATTCCCAGCTGCAGATTTACATCGACGACAAGAAAAAAATGCCAAAAAGTTTTCTTTGTCGGTATCGTTCTTCAAGTCGTTTCGGTTCCTCCCTCCGTGTTCTTCAGGCGTGACAAGACCCATTATAGAACATTCTGCAACAGTTAGAGTTTCTCTCACTCTCGTCTGAAATCTGTATGCTTTACACGATGTTTTGTGTTTTTTCGAATCTGACTTCTGACAATCTTCTGAACAGTAGTACACAACCCTACAACCAGTACACCTGAAAGCTGCACTTTGACTTTTACAGTTTGCACATATTGGCAATGAATCGTCAGCGCCCCTTTCACTCCTCTGTGTTGGTTTTTCTTTTTTTGTGCAGTTTGATTTATGCTTTTTCCAGTCTGCCTTTTGACATTCAGCAGAGCAGTACTTTTGTACCTTACATCTTTGGCATACTTTCAATAGACGTTTTTCCCCACATACAGTACAAACATTAAGCGATTTATGATCGTTCTCTTCTTCTTCGATGGACTTCTTTTTGTTGAAGACAACATCTTTCTGGTCGTCTTTTTCCACTTCCTGTAAACAATCTTCCTCCTCAACTCGTACTTGTATCTTCACACATTCATCCTTGTGTTTCTGCGTCCAGTCCTGAAGTTGACACTCTTTGGAGCAGTAAGACACTTGCAGACATCCTGTACATCTCTTTAGCTGTTCTGACGATTTTTTGCAGGAAGTGCATATCAACGTTGGTGAACTTGATTCTATCAAAATAAAAATCTAATGCCCTGTTCACATGGAGAGTGTAATTCGAATTATACGTAAATTACTGCGAATTAAATTTGAACCGCGTTCACACGGGGCATTTAATGCGAATTGGTTTAATTCGAATTAATTTACTGCGTATTAATTAAATTACTTCGCATTAGCTCCGTGTGAACGCTGAGCGAAGCTAATTCGAATCAAATTTTGACGGATGCATAATGGCAAAATTAAGTCACATGCCACATGTCGGGGGTCAGATATAGGTAGTGAAAAAAAGGAAAATTTTGTTAATTACTGAAATGTGCACAGACACTATGACATTATGTCAAATGGATCTGCTCTGCATAAGGTGTCGTGATTTGAAAATGACGTCATAATAGCCTTACTGAATATCCTTACTGTAAACCTTTACTGCGAATTTTACTCTCCATGTGAACAGGGCATAAATATTACGCATTTTAAAATCTTAAACTTGATTTTTTTTTTATACAGGTACCTACATGTATATATTAAATAAAATTATTCAAACTTTGATTAATAAGTATAAACTGCTAGTTTTATAGATTGCTCTATTTTTTTTTAACAATATGACGTTTATTCATTTTCCATTTCGTCTTAATATGAGACTCTCATTCATTATGTATTTTATAACCTAATCCCTTTTTTTATACGTAGTAGATCTATTATAAAACAAAATTTTCCAAAACTTAAGATTTTGAATCTGGAAAGTTTCTGTGCTTTTAAATGATAAGCATATTTTTGGCCTATATTTTGATTTGTATATTTGGTTTGTCCTATGGCTGGCTTATAGGACCTTTCTGGAATAATATGACAAGTCTTTATGTTCAAGAAAACTAGGTTTGGTATGTAGCTTCTAAACCGCGCACTTTGGAATTTTCAGTTTGGAAAAAAATATAATTTAGTTTAGTTTAACTTCGTGATGGTTCATTGTGAATAAACGTAGGAAGACAATGGGGTTTTTTTTGGCTTTATTTTTGTTTTTTGTTTTTGTTTTTGTTTTTTTTTTGCTTCTTTTGTGACATCTTACCGTCTATGCTCACTTCCTTGCACTTTCTCTTGTGTCCAGCTTTCCAGTGATTTCTTTGACATTCCCGTGAACAATAGAATTCTCCCTTACATCGACTACATCTCATTAAATCTGGAGATCGGACGCCACAAAAACTGCACTCAGACAGTTCTACAGATATTAATATAAATCATCACCTAATAAAATAGACTGAACCTGCTCCATATTATATAGATATTTTCTCCACTTACCAACGCTCACCTCCTTACATTCCATCTTATGTCCCTTCTTCCAGTGATTTCTTTGACAGACTCTAGAGCAGTATAATTCCACCTTACATCGACTACACTTCTGTAAATCTGATGACTGGATGCCACAAAAACTGCAGAATCTCATCATTGACATCTACAATATGGAAAGCTCCTTATATTGAAATATTGGGCTAATTTATAGATACATCCTTAGTATCAAGGTTGACTCATACATCTATACTGATTTCTGGTGTTTTATTTTATCAAACTCTACAATAGGACTACACTTGACATTACATTATTTTTGGGGTGAACAAATAGGTACCACGAGTCCCCCCCCCCCCATCCCCACATTTGAATCTACGATGGGGAACCTGTCGAGTTCTCTAAATGATTTGTGACATGGCACAATCAAACTTTTAGCTGTGCGGTATCCATGGTCAGCGTAAGTTTCATTACGATTAGTTTTCACAATGGGGTAGACGCACGTTGATTTCTTTACGAGAAGGTAGGCTATTTTTAAAACAGTCATTCTACCATAAAAGGTATATCGATACCAGGTTTTGGGGCGAATTACATTGTAAAGTAAAGCATTACATTACCATTACTTCAAGAATTTGGGCATTTAATTGCCATTACTCTGAATTCTTAAAGTACTGCATTACATTACCATTACTTTAGTGAAATAATGCATTACCATTACTTTTGGTTTTTATTAAAAATAGAAATACAAATTTTGCAACTATTTTCATAAGCATGCATCCAACCCCTTCAAAACTAAACATGACAAATGATAATTCAAATTTGATTGCAAGAACCTGTATTTATCACACTGTATTTAACTTTTTATTATTCAAGGGAAGTTCAAACATTTCAATTGTCAGGAAGATAAAACATGTACAATATGTACTTTTTGTATAACTATTGATGTCATATAGCAATAATTTTACTTTGGGGCACTTTAACCCTTGCCAAAAATATCTAATAAAAACTATCTAATGATAAAGCATAGCTTATTTGGATCTAGTACCTTATTTAAAAATACATGCATTGACAAAGTTAATAAAAGGGTTGGACAGTATGTTCATTTTGCTCTCCTAAGTGTACAATGCCTGCATGTCTTCTATTCCTTTTGGTGTAATGGATTTGTCATGGTCAGCTCAAGCTAGACCAACTCAGTTAATATTTCATAAACAGTCAGAAGAAAGGCACTGGTAATTTAGAGCACTTCTCAAAACAATACATTGTTTTAATTATTACATAACCCCAGAGGCATAGTTTGTTTTGAAGACACTCAAATCCTATCTAAAATAAGTGTGAAAATTTAAATGTAATATAATGTTACTTTCAACAGAACAAAAAATGTATTTAAATAGATACAGAGAGTTTATTTATTTAGAGTTTAGTTAAATAGGTTAACTTTTTTCATTCATTCCTATCATTGAAAAAATAACCTAAACAATAATTTCCATGTTCATTTAATTTCTTTAAAATGGGTACATACAAAATAATGCTTTTTTAATGCTATGTAATGAAAGCATTTCTCTGGATTTGAGAAAGTAATACATTACATTACCATTACATGCTATGCAATTTTTTTGGCATTACACATTTAAAAAGTTAACCAATTTGAATAAACTCTCTGACTGTATCTATTTGAATACACTTTTTATTCTGTTGAAAGTACAATTACCAAAGATTTTCATACTTATTTCAGATTAGATTTAATTTCAAAGAATATTTTAAAGTTTTTTTTAATATCCTTTAAAAAATAATTCCGGTAATAAGTACACTAATTAATATACACTGTAAATTGATAATTGCAATCTTTTGGATAGAATGTCATCAAAATACACAATGTCTCTAAGGTTATGTAACAATTAAAACAATGTATTGTTTTGAGAGTACTCTCTTTCTTCTGACTGTGTTTATGAAACATTAACTGAGCTGGTCTAGCTTGAGCTGACCATAACAAATTCATTGCCCAAAAAGGAAAAGAAATAGAAGACAGGCATTCTTCTTTTAATAGAGCAAAATGTACATATTGTCCTTTTTACAAGTTTGTCAGTGCGTGATTGTTGCCATAATTTAAGGTTCTAGATCCAAATAATGTGTAAATGTCTTATGAAGTTAAGTTTTAGTTTTGGGGAGGGAGTAAAGAACTACGCACGGTAACTCCCGATTCCCGCCTACATTTTACAACCATTTAATTCAATATTAATGACAATTTGGCCATAAAATCTTTGTTTAAAACAAAGAACAGTTCAGTGGTAATTGATTAATTATTTTAATTCCAGTGCTAAATAGTAAAATATCCCTAATTCCAGCTCTTGAAATAAGGGGGGTAGACGATATTTTCCACTGAAATCGGGCTACAAAGCATCACCACATTCTGAAATAGTCTTGGATATGAAAAAATGTTTCTTAAATCTTTTCTTATGCTTTATGCATATAAAATTAAGCAGATATATTAGTAAAATATAATGTTTCAGTTGTAAAGCACTTGGAAATTGCTGAAAAAATAAGCATTTTTGTCGTTTTTTGTATATAAACATATGTTCCCCCCTGTGAAACACAAAAAGCTTTGGTATGAATTTGTGAAATGACAGTCCATATTACCCGTAAAAAGGAATTTTTGTTTCACGGGGGGGGGGGGGGGGAGATGTTTTAAAAATATTTTCCGTTTTCCGTTGATTTCTATAGTGAAAAACACGTTTTACCAAAATTTTAGAGTTATCTCTCGTTGTTTTCCCAAAGAGGTAATGTTTTATGAAAATCCATATAAATATCAATATAAATATTAAAATTCATTCGAATATCTTAACTTTTGAAAATTGACTTGGAGGTAGGCGGGAGAACAATACTATCGTTCGCAGTTCTTGCCCCAAAAGCTGATTGCTTTATGACATCAATAGTTACACAAAAGTTGCTATTGTACATGTTTTAATCTTATTGGCAGTTGAACTTCCCATGAATAATAAAAAGATATTCAAATTATTTACAATGTAATAAATACAAGTACTTGAAATCAAAATTGAATTATCATTCACAATGTTTACATTTGAAGGGGTGAGATGCATGTTTATGAAAATAGTTGCAAAGTTTTGTGTTTCTATTTTTGAAAACCTCCAAAACTAATGGTAATGGTACTGCATTACTTTGTTAAAGTAATAATGTAATGCATTACTTTAAGAAATTAAAGTAATGGTAATGGTAATTTAATGCCGAGATCCTTGAAGTAATGGTAATGTAATGCATTACTTTTCAATTTCAATTCGCCCCAAGCCTGATTGTCAGTAGAATCTATGATACATTGCTGAAATTATTCCGTCAGCAGTGGTAAAAACTCAATTCCACGAGCTTGCGCGGGATTTCATCTAGTAACATGAAATAAAAAAAAAATAATTGCTTCAAATTGCGGAAGCCCGTTGAGGCCAATTCAGAGAAAGAAATATTTTTTATTGCGTTTAAACGCAAAACATTGCAATATTGCAATATTTTGCGTTTAAACGCAATAACTTTCCGATTAAACGCAATACTTTTTGCGTTTAAACGCAATAATATTTTTGCGATTAAACGCAATAACTTTCCGATTTAACGCAATACTTTTTGCGTTTAAACGCAATAATATTTTTGCGATTAAACGCAATAATTTTTGCAATTAAACGTAATAGTTTTTGCGATTAAACGCAATAGTTTTTGCGTTTAAACGCAATAATATTGCAATTAAACACAATAATATTGCGATTAACCGCAATACTTTTGCGTTTAAACGCAATAATATTTGCGTTTAAACGCAATAATCTTTGTACAGGCAGCTACAGGCAGTCATTTGTATCAAACCTTGCAGAGTACAATGGACCCACGCATACTTATATCTTTTCTTTCTCTTTTTTACTTATTAGGAAATCGTGTGTTGTCTGGCTTTATAGTATCAGATTTATTCGAGCAAACGCTCTCCGAAAGGATAAATCACTTATATGAATCTATAGAAGAGAAAAAAATGTCGGGTTGTAAAAACGAAGGCAACCTAAGAAGAGACATTCTTACGCTTATTAGATCTCTACATACTTAATGGTTTTGGTCAGTTGCTTTGTTAAAAAAAAAACTATCCCCTACGTTGCGGTCACGAAGTTTAACCCATGTATAAAGGGTTTTTAGAAAAGGAATGATAAAATGTTGGAATTACGTACAACATGTAGTATTTAGACTTAAATGTGCATTCTCAACATTTCCTATGGTTGCATACTGTAAACACAAGAACATAGGTGATGGATTCATATGAGATCATAAGAGATCAAAATCAAATGAAAACAGATTGATCGCTGTGTACTACCAAATTGACAAGTGCCATTAATACCACTTAAACATTATCTATAAGTTGTGATACGTAAGCAAAGAAGATCCGATTTGTTCTGTGTCTTTTTGCAAAATTTTCCAGTTTTTGAAAATTGTTGTAAAACAATGGCATCCTTACAACCTGAATGTCTTAAACGTATTAGAACCCAACACTTTTAATGAAGTCTTTGATCAATTGAATGTTTCAGTAATGTTGCATAATTACTAGGATCCTAGTACATGTACAGGTAATTATAAGCTTTGGCTAATTGATGTTTGAATTTGAAAGTACAGTATCATTGTGTTTAAATGCAAAACAAATCATTATAAGGAAGGGTTATTGCGTTTAAACGCAAAGATTATTACGTTTAATCGCAAAAATTATTGTATTTAATCGCAATATCATTACGTTTAAAAGCAAAAATTATTGCGTTCAAACGCAAAAAGTATTGCGTTTAAACGCAAAAATATCATTGCGTTTAAACGCAAAAAGTATTCCATTTAATCGCAAAAGTATTGCGTTTAAACGCAAAAGATTGGGTTGAATCGCAATCTTTTGCGTTTAAATAGTGTTTTGCGTTTAAACGCAATACACATTGCGATAAATCGCATTCTTTTGCGTTTAAACGCAATGATTATTGCGATTAAACGCAATAATAAATATTTCCTTCTTTGAACTGGCCTCAACGGGCTTCCGTATCAAATAACTAATTCAACAACATAAATCTCTAAAGGACAAATCAGTAAAAATTCCACAACCCTGGTATCGTTAGTTTGTTTACAACAATTACGGTGTACCCACGGTCATAAGACAATTTTATGAAAGTCAATGCATAAAGAAAACTTTTTAAAAATAAACCCGAATATGGTTTATTTGATTTTTCAAATCTGGCACGAATCTGATATTAAGTTAAAATTTAAGGGGTCGGATATCTTACGGAAGTTAATTTTCAGCAATAAAAGTTAAATTCTCGGTATTAGTTAAGAAATAGATAACATGTTTAAAAACTTCTCTGGGAAATGAAGTGGGTCGGTCACGTGATCAAATCCTGTGAAGGCCGAAGGCCTTCTCAGAAGATTTGATCACGTACCGACCCACTTCATTTCCCAGTGAAGTTTTTAAACTTGTTATTTATTACTTATATATACATTTGAGACGGACAATCGAATATAATCGAATATAAATATTGCACTAACTGTTCGTCGTAGATTTTGACAAATTACGCAAGGTGTAAATCGGCTTGAAAAGCGTTTACGCTTCAAATTCATCTGGCAAAGGATTCTGTTTTGAAGGGAATATTCTGTGAAAGGCTACTTGTGATCAATTATAGTGAGCATATTGGTGTCTAGGAATTTTTGTGTTCGTGAGAGCCCGTATTCGATGTTAAAAAAAACACAAGAAACACGCCCGATGTTTGATAATAAAAAGTTGGAGGAATTTCGGTCGGAAAGGGATGGATGGAGACACTTGTCCGGACCAGTTAATTTGGAATCAAGTTTAAAATTTGATCAGAAACATAAAATCTACGATTTTAATAAGGCATATTTATTATGATGTTGACACGGAGACACAGGCGACAGCTTACATTGTTAAGACAACGATCTCGATGATGGAGGTGTGTTACGTCTACCGAACTTCCCGAGTGCAGTGTTTGTCAGCTGTTTGTGGCGTGTTTGCATTACATTGGTATTTTTCAACAGATTTTCAAATTTATTGTGAGTAAAGTTTAATGAAAAAAAATATAGCATTCAGAGGTCTACAAGAAAAATAAGGATAAACGTTGAGACTATGCAGCTCAGACATGAAATTTATAACACGTAGTTTTCTATTCTCTATGTAAAATCGACCAAGAACTGTATTAATTACTCGTTTACATTGTAAATAAAATGATTATTGTTTTACTTGGGTATTTTGTACATTTTTTATGCATGAAAAACATGCTATATTGCTAAGAAGAGTAAGTTAGTCGTAAGTCTTTTTATGTAGATATTACTGCGCGGTGTGATTAGGTCACGTAATGACCTATGACCTTCGAAAAAATTCATACAGGTATGAAGATATTTGCTCTCTGTATGTTTATATAATAGAGAGATACCACAAATGTATATATATATAAAATTTACGTTAGTTTTAAGATGTTAACCAAAAGCATGAAGTATTTCGCTTCTAAATCAATAAAACTTTCTTAAATGCAGAAACACTCCTGAATCACAGTTACGGAAGTTCAATTCTTAAGAGAGACAACTACATGTAGTTTTGTCCAATTCAATCTGTTATTTCGAAATTTATCTGACTCGAAGCTGCAATCGATCATATAAGGTTTCTACGGTCATTTTCAGGTAAATTCTATTTGTTTATGCCCCCGTAATCGAAGATTCGGGGGCATATAGTTTTTGCCCTGTCCGTCCGTCTGTCTGTCTGTTTGTCCTCAAAAAGTCCTCAACTTTCGATTGGTTGGAGCTATGGCTTTCATATTTCACATGTGTATTCCTTGTGACAAGACCTTTCTTTGGATACCATCATTTTTGACCTTGGAGGTTGACCCACTTTTGCAATATTTTATGAGGCTTTAACCTTGGCTATAACTTTTGAACAGTTGGTGCTTGGGCTTTCAAACTTCACATATGTATTTCTTGTGACAAGACCTTTCTTTGGATACCAACAACGTTGATCCTTTACCTTAACCTCGAGTTTGACCTACTTTTGAAAAAAAACTTTAACCTTGGTCATAACTTTTGAATTTTGGTGCCAGAGCTTTCATACTTCACTTGTATTTTCCTTGTGACAAGACCTTCCTTTGAATACCAACAACTTTGACTCTTTGACCTTGGAGTTTAATTTTGAAAAAATTTTAATCTTGGCCATAACTTTTGAACAGTTGGTGATGGAGCTTTCGTACTTCACATGTATATTCTTGTGAAAAGACCTTCTTTTGGACACCAACAATTTTGGCATTGACCTTGACCTTGGAGTTTTACCTACTTTAAAAAACTTCAACCTTGGCTATAACATTTGAACGTTTGGTTCTAGGGCTTTCACATTTCACGAACATGTGTATCAAGACCTTCTCTGGGCACCATTTGACCTTGACCGTGACGTTTTACTTACTTTTGAAAATCTTTAACCTTCGCCATAACTTTTCAACGGTTGGTGCTAAGGCTTTCATATTTCACAGGTATATTCCTTGAGACAATACCTTTCTTTGGGTACTAACATTTTTGATCTCTTGACATGGAGTTTGACTTGCATTTGAAAACTTTAACCTTCGCCATAAGCTGCCATACGAGGGCATCAGTGTTTCACAAACACATCTTGTTTTTATCAGGTCTGCATGGTTTATGTACAATTGAAAACAAAAGCATTTATTTTCTGCGACATGCTATGATTTCGTATGAAACAAAATGAATGCAAAAGAGTTTTTTTTTTCTTTTTATATAGGGAAAAATCTTTTCTTTAGTATTCCATGCAATTAATTCGAAACGCTTATACAACGAAAGATTTCGTTTTGAAATTTGTAAATGAGTGAAGCGACATTAATATATGCAGTAGAATAGGTTTTTTAAACATGTTCAGGGACGTAGCATTGTTTTTGAAAGGGGCTAGCCTAAGAAAAAAAACTTCTACTTAACTTAAGAAACTTGACAAGCCAAAGGAAAAAAAAGGAAAATTGTCCATACTCGAAAATCCTATTTCGTTGGGGGGGGGGGGGGGGTTCCAACTCTTCCTTAAGTACCAAATTTTATTCATACACTACTACATAACCTTTATTTGACTAAACTGTAACAAAAAGTGAACAATGAACATTTTCAATAGTAACAAGAGGCCCATGGGCCACAACGCTCACCTGAGTCAATATGGCCCTCTTGTGCTTCATCAGCAGATTTTTTTCTATTATATATTCCTATCTAAAACTTTTATCCTTATTGTGATTCCACCCTACCCCCAGTGTCATGACTTTAATAGATGTAGCCCTACCCTACCCCTCAGGGTAACAATTTGAACAAACTTGAATCCACACTACCTCAAGACACTTCCTTCCTGCTGTTCTTGAGAAAAAGATTTTAGAGATTTTTTCCCTATACATTCATATGTTAAACTCTGATAGTGCATTGTGGCCCAACCCTACCCCATGGGGTCAAGATTTGAACAAATTTAAATCTACACTACCTGAGAATGTTTCCATATCAAATTGACTAAACATGGCTTTGCTGTTCTTGGGAAGACGATTTTTCCCTAGATACGAGGGTCATTCAAAAAGTCCGTAGACTTTTGTCATAACTTTTTTATTTAACGTCATATTACAACCAAATTTGGTACACATATTTTCACAACAGATTCAAATATTTTGATCGAGTTATAAAATTGGAATATATCTTGATGTTTATCAAAATTATCAAAGATTTGAGATAGCAAAAACGGAGTCATGGAGCAGGGTCAAAATTGAGTTATTTACTAATTATACTCTGAAAGTGCTGGAGATACCAGGAAATATATATAAAAAATGAGCCGTGCAATTGTATATAATGGAAAAGACAATTTTTGAGTGGGAGAGACTTTGAATCGGACAATGGATGGTCTGCGAAGAAACAGATTATAGTTTAAAATCTTTTCAAAAGAACGTGATGTACGCTTTACTGTCGCGGAACTTATAAAAGCATAGTTACGCGGTAAAGAATTTGAAAACAATGACAATCGAACTTACGGTATTCGAATAATTATTAGCAAACTAGGTGTCAAGTGTTATGGATACGTTTTTATGAATGGGGAAGTCGCTACCAATACGTTATAAAATGATAAGGCAGAGTAAGTTTTGTGAAACTTTCTCTACGTTGTCTTTGAGGTTACAATGTTTTTAACCGTGCTCCGTGGCGACGATACGATATCGACGCAATATTGTCGATATCGACATCGAATTCGATCTAGTACAAGTGTTGTATTCCATTCCACTCTACTGAGGAACCATTTAAAAATGAAAAGATCTGTAGTCCTGAAATAATTTTCTGGTAAACAGCTGTTCCTCACTTGAAACTTTTCTTCCAATTTCTTTTTGTCATAGCAAGATTTAGTATTAACTGCTTTTGGTAAACTGTACTTCCTCCAGACTTTGGCAGCTACATGGTTTTCCTTAAGATAAAGTTCTGGTCCTATTAGCAACCGCTTGGATGAGGATGTACTGAGAAGAGTGTGTTGTGCAGGACTCTGATGGAGTCTCTTTTTAGATCAAAGTTTTCCCAACATAAATGAAGCACAGAATAGTTATCAGAAGAAACATGTAGTGGAAAGTCATAACTACACATTGCTCTTCCAGTCCTATTGTCTTGATGTTGGATTGGGTGTGACCGAACTGGCTTATTTCTAGCTATATAAATGCCTTGCAATAGTATGTGTTAAAGCATCACCACTTTCTTCGGCTTCTTAGTGTTCATCTGCTTTTCGGATTTACTGGATACCTGATGCATTACGAAGTTTTCTTTCTCCCTAAAGGAGCCAATATGAAGATGGTGGCTAAGGCAATGATCTGAGTGCATTATTCATGTACCAGTATCACCGCCGATTCTTGAAGATGTCCCTCGTCAAACGACGTAAACTCAAACGCACTACCCTCAACATCAGCACTGCTACCCAACTCAGAAGTAGTTTGGATGCTTGATTTTTTTCTATGTTGGAAATGTTTAACTAGTTTGTCTATCAATTTATCTGTTTTGTAGTTGGTTACACTGGGACTTATCTCATAAGTATTTAAAGTATTGCTCAGTCTCGATCTCTACAGTGTGACTCTCGATGATGTGTTTCTCCACATAGATGCATATAAAGCCAAAGTTACTTTTGTGAGCCTCTACAGATTTGCTTGTTTCAGAGTCATTTTGAGAGACGTGCTTTGCCTCATTTTCAATGTATTTACATATACAGATAATTTGGTATCAAGCTTCCCTTGCTAGATGTTGGTCAATTTTACAAGTCAATTTATAGTCACATTTATTAGCAACTGCTTATCTAATGAAGTCTTCTGCACATTTTGTCAAACACTTTGTCACTGTTTGTTTGTCACAGAAGGAGCTAGAAACAACCACAGTGCTGCAAGAATGGGCAGATGGCCGTTGTCCTATAGAGATACTTGGAACACATTCGGCTTCGATCTGTGGAAGTCTGGAAGACGTTGATTTCCTTTTCTCTTGTCTGCTGAAGTTTTTAAAACTCTGGTAGCACCATCTGAGGGTCCCATAATTAAAGGGGTCTAGGTAGTCTGAAAATTCTAAAAGGATTCGTGTTCCAGTGGATCTTTTGGAACTGCATATGTTAATCGTATTTTAGCAGGCTTTGTTATCGTGTTAAACCCAGCATCTTTCAGGCCACCTTTTTCTTTTTTTCTTTTTTCTTTGGTTATCTAAATTTTCAAAACGTAGAATGCATTGTCTTTCACTAATGTCTATTGACGTTTCCAGGTAGATTTTTTCTCCTGATTAAGCTTAACACTTTACTACTTTCAAGGACTTACCTCCTAAAAGTAGACTTGAAGCAACAATAAGATTGCATTATTTTGAATTATTTATCCCTGTACCGGAAAAAAAACAGTTAATCTTCATGATTGCTGATCAGACAGATATATGTATCTCTATTGTCTATGATTTATTAACTGAATTAATCAATCCATCAATTAGTTAGTTGATACATTTTGATTTAATATTTTTTCAAGACTTTTTAGTTTTCAGTTTATTCATTGCAAGCCTGAATGAAATTTAATGATATTCATGTAATGATGTTACATAGCATTAATGATACATTGTAGAGAGTATTTCTTCGTACAGCTTTTACCAAACATATTTAAATGTAGATACTGAAATTTATACCAGCATTCATACAAAAGGATGAAAATTTGCTTTATATATAATTTTAACTATGAAAATTAAACATTATTGGAATTTTCCATTGATTTTGATAAGACCCCCCCTCCAAACCTAAGGGTATAACAATTGTGTGCATGTTAGAGATGCCAGCATTTATAATTTAATAGAACTATGATATATCAAAGTTTTAAGACAGACAAACAATTAGATATTTTAGGAATTAAGCCTATACACTTTTTCCAATATTCAGTAGTGATGGGCAATCGAAATTTTCTCATAATCGATTATCGGAATAATCGGATTCACTATAATTGATTAATAATCGATTGATTACAAGTATTAAATTTGTTCATTTTTGCATGAAGAATAAATTGGTAAAAATCTGGAGTGATTTCTAAAATGCACGGTTGATGTATTTGGTATCACTGGATACTTTTATTTAATTGTTATTTATGAGGGTTCGAATAAATGCAGGAAGTTTGGGGGGAAAAAAGATCTATCTATCGAAACTAGTTTGATGGCCAAGGTATTTATAATCTTGAGATATGAGCCGAAAAGTGAGGTCCTTGGCACCGTGGGACAGACTATAGGATTTAGTTACATTCAGAGAAGAATGAATCAAGAAATCTTGGAAATAATTTGCTTTTAACTAACTTTTGATTAATCGATTATCAAAATTATAATCGATTATCTATAATCAAGGGCCATTTCGACTAGATAATCGATTTAATCGATTAATCGGTACATCACTAATATTCAGCGATTTTTTAAAATAATGTCTTCTGCGTTTGCCCCAAAAACCCTTAACGCCCCGACGACCAGAGTGCAAGCATGGCTCATTTTGTAGCATTTTTATAAGCTTTCAGAAAATCACAGCCTCCAAAATTCACCGGGTGGGGTGGGGGTGGTAGCGATAGCTCAAGGACTTTTGGAAGAATACGTCACTGGCTGATTATCTAGTCTTTTTTAATAGCTAACCTTGTTACTTTTTACGACCTGATATACAAATTATATTTTTTAAAACTTACTTACCTGTTGTGTTCTATCTTTTGTATTCAATAGATTTTACACAAACACACGTATGCAAATATCGACTAAACCTTTTCTCTGAAAACAAAACGAAAGTTCTTTTGTAAAATGCTTCCAGTGAAAGTTCGAAATCTCGCTTAACAAAGTGCAAGGACTTGTTTTCAGTGAAGTCGTCAATTACAACTCGTCTCCTGTTTCGGGTCACTCGTTTGTATATCATGTCATATGCATATATATATTATGTCACAAAAACTCCTAATAAATAAAATGGCTATAAAGAACGTTTCTTGTTGCTATAATCATCATTTAAAAAAAACAAAAAAACAAAACAAAACAAAAAAAAACAACTTGAAAATCTACATTAATGGAGCATACAACAACAAAAGTCATTATTTTAGCGTTTACCCAATCATGACAAGGACCACACGATGGTTGTCACAGGTCGACAGGGGATGCTTAATCCTCCATGTCACTTAATCTCACATGAAGTACATTTTTTTTTATTTAAAGGGAAAAAATATTGAGAATACAGTCAATTTATCTGGTGTATTCAATAAGATTCTTTTGATTTCCTAAATTCAGAATCAAAACCTTTAAGCTTGATGTATTTATACATCCACGTCCGAGGTTAGAGTGCGAGGCACCACCAGAGGAGCTCCGAGTGGCATTTACCTCCACATAGTACAAAATTCAAAATTTACAACATGATAAAACTATCAGCTACACCATCGGAACTGTTCCTTCAACAGTGGTAAAAATTCAATTGCGCGGGATTTCATCTAGTTAAAAAGTCGAAGAATACTTTGTGTACAAAGCTAGGGGTGGATGGGAGTGGGCGAAGGGGGGTCCCCAAGCACCTGTGATTTGGATATGGAAATAAAGTCACTTTGAAAATGACGTTTTTGACCAAATATACAAAAAATTATAAAATGATTAATTTTGTTTCCTTCAAGTTTGAAATATTAGTTTTGTGAAGAAACATCGGTTATCGTTCTTTGAGCAAATAGAGATATTATTAATGATAAACTTTTTTTTCAGAAATCAGCCACATTTCCATTAAATACACGTTCATACAGATAACTTGAATAATGTTTGCCAAAGTAATTGTGGAAATGTTAAGATTTTGTAATAACGTCATAAAATGAGTGCAAAAAATGTAAAGATTTATGTAAAAATGGTAGATGACTATTTGAACACCAAAGAAATCCTAAGATTTCTTTATATTTTGGGAATCTGTTATTTATGGTATTTCTATTAAACATCAGTCAAAAATATAGATATATATATCAATCCATAATGCATCAAATTGTTTGTTTACAAGTGCTTTGTATCCTTAAGCAATGCTAAATGCACAACAAACGAAAGATTTCACCTCTGCACCAAACACACAAGATAACCAGGATGTTTACTTCCTATTCATTTAATCAAACAAAACTTTTTCACATTTTCCCACGGGATTGCATTAGTCTTGCACTCATTGGCCACCTTATTAAGTTAAAGATTTCTTTTTCTGAAAAATAAATCGGTGACAACTGTTTCCTTGCCCCAGAAGCTGTTTTCTAATTGTATTTATATTTCACGCCTGCCATTAAAAAATCGGGACATTTACCCACGCGACATTAATTCGACACAAATTTAAAAGAACATTTCCTTTATCATTGTGTTTTTATATCAACTTTTGTTATTTTTGTCTGGTGTAATGTTAAGTCTCTAGATCTGTGAAATTAAATGATTCATGATTTGTGAGAAAAGCACAACGCGATTTAACGACAGAAATGACTTATTCAAAATAATAATCTAGATTTCTAAACCACAAAGTTTAAATAACTGATCAAATAAAAAAAGACTTAGTTTTTAACAATGGAGGATATTATCAGGGAAGGTAGTGGTGGCTATACGTAAGAAAATCAAAAATACAATCTGATGTAATTAACCGTTGATACTTATGTTCTGTCGACTTACTGACTATTTGGCAACATAGAAATCTCTCTCTCTCTCTGTTTTCTTTGTCCGCTATATACTTTAAGGGGAAATGATGAAAGAATTTAAACCAATGTCAGTTGATCTTATATATAATGTACAGTTATACATGTACCTTGTCAAGTGTATGCAACAGACATTAGACTAAAACTGACATATTTATAAAATATATATTAGAGAGGTTCGCCTTTACTACAAGACAAAGAAATTTTGCCTAAAAAGACTACAGTTATATGTTTAGAATTTCTCTTGTTATCTTTCTCTAGGGGAAAATGATTATAGTTAAGTATATAAAATATATGTGTTTTTCATTACACTAGCTACAGAACTGTAGCTTTCCGGGATAGAAAATTCGGACAAACATGTTATTCTGCAGCAAACTTTATACAAGTAATACATTTCCTGACAAAGCCTTGCTCTTCTTATTGAGTTTTTATGATAATTTACAGCTAGTTCATCAGTGTTTAAGTTGTAATTGTAAATATATGAACATGTCCCTTTATATAGGTGATTTTAGAAATTAATTTTGACGTCAAAGCAAAGGTTCTTTAATACGAATTCAAAAGTTTTGTGAACAAGCAAATTCAAAGAATTGTGGTCCCCCGCTTTCGGTGTCTTAGTGGTTTGGATGCAATGATTTTATGGCATATGTTAACTGTCTTGTTTGTATGTCC